AAGTCACATGCGCTAACCATTACGCCACCAGTCCCCCTTTCGGACTTCTCTCTCTCTCTCTCGAACCTTTCGACGTGTAAACCAGACGCCCCGATGTTTTCAGATCCTTTGACAACCGACATTCCGATTAGGAAACCGCACGTCCACTAATTTCTTGACACCTGCGCGCTCCCTGCGGCGCCGACCACAAAGAAACAAACGCCGGCGGCGGCGAGCGGCTGCGTGCGCTCACACAAAAAGCTGTCGCATCTTCCGGGGCAGGTGGAGGAGCCTTGCAGGCGAGCGATGACACCTGACGGTCGGTACTTCACGCTTTCACTTCGTTCTCCCGCACCCGATGTTTAAGGCTCGGCCGCCCTTTCGTGGTGGAAAATGTAAGCGTCAAGACTGAGACTGGTTCAGGATGTCGCGTGATGAGCTGGATTTCGTTTGTGATTTCCAAACTTGGTTTGCCCACGATCCGTTCTCATCATAACGATAATTCAATAACCTGACCGTGCACTCACATGTGAATTTTACTATACAATTAAATAATATGAAAAAATGTTATTTTTAAGGTTGATACCTTGAATGGCGAAGAAAAAAAGTATAAATCAAACATTTTGATGTATAAAATTATATTCATTGGAATTAGACCGTTTATTTTAGAATTAAAAATACAAAATAATTCCTATTAGTAATGAGATGAAATTTACCCTCTAGGCCGTTATTTTTTCCTATTCAACCATGCATGGATAGTCGGTCGCAATTGACCTGGGTTCGAATTGAGATATTTTTCATTATATGTATAATGTAGACCTACATTCACCTACATTTTATTCTGAACCTAAAGATAGCAACCGTTAATTTTTTACTGTTATTTTTTTACCGTCGTTTTGAAGAAAAATTATGACAATTGTTTTCCTTGTTGAAACTTTCGCGGATCTCCTGTCGTTAATGCCCCGCAAGTTAATATCTGGTTGCCAGGGACATCTCTCCAACACTTTCAAGGACTCTCGTGGTTAACGTGGGGAAAATTTTGGATTATAAGGAATGGCCTATTAAGAAGAAAATGTTAAAATCATTGATCCTCTGAATTACAGAGAGCGTATTATGTGACCGAGAATGAATCCGAGCGTGTTCGAAGTGTTGCCTACATTCAGGCGTTATCGCGAGTGAGCGGTTTGTCCAAAGATCCGGCGGTTAGAATTGGTTTTCTAAGTTCATTAAAATTTTTACGCTTTCATGCGAGTAAAATTTATAAAAAATTGGAAACTTCTTTACCGCTCTTGTTCTTGTGATTGAGTAAAATATGAAATGTAGGTAAGTTTTTATATCGCATTTATCATGAAGAAATATCCCAGCCACAGATACATAAAGAAAGCAAGGAACGAAGGAAGAAATGACAGCACGAGTTGAACGAATCCCCTCTTTGCAAAACCTATCGAAAAAATATTTCTGTGCTCAAAAAAGTGTCTAAATACCAAACAACGTTTTACAAACTACATGCGAGTTAAATTATAAATTTGTGAATTTTTTTCGGCTTTCTTCTTTCGTTTATGAAAATCATTTGTATAGTAGACTAAAAAATGACATTTCAGTTTAATAGAGGAGTAAAGGAAAATATCTTTAGAAATTGTAAGGTCTGACTCAACCCCATTTCTCTGGTAAATTTTGGTCGAGGAAATCTTATTTGTTGTAATGAAACGTGATCGTACGCACATTCCATTCCAATATGTTTGGTAGCATTGTAGACATGTTAGACATACGTACTAGTTATCCTTTAGTTAAGCTTCCTTAGGCACCAACATTTGCCTCAGTAGGTACCTCATACATTATCTCTTGCTAACGGTGACATATCTCATACGTAATCTCTTGCTAGAGGACGCATCTTAATACTGGCATGCCCCACTTTCACTGCGTCCTTTTGAACCCATTATAAATGACGTTGGTAGCCTCCGTGAAATAGGTGAGGAGTGCGTGCTGGCGTTGCCGAGTATCCCAATAGGGTGCTTATAACGTAATAATTATGTCGTAAAGAAGACAAGTCATGTGTATGTGTTGTTGTCCACTCTCAGAAGTGGTTTCATCTCTTGCATTTAATTTTGTTTACTGCCACCATCATGGTTCACTGGCATTTTATTTAAATTATGAACATCTTTGACGTAGTTTGGTGCATGATATTTCCTCTGTGACGAATATGGTAGGTAACATAGATAACAACTCGACCTTAAAAGATTCTAACATAAAAATAAGCCAAGAAAAGTTATGAAAGTTAAAAGTATGCGCTCGTAGTGAATAAATAGAAGTGTCGGACAACACTTTACAAACTTCTGAAACAAATTATTCCTGTGCCTTTCTTGAAAACTTGTTAACACTTTGTAACCAATATTACAAACAGTTAACAAGCAATCCAGATATCAGTTGTAAATAGTTTTTGAAAAATAACGGAGACTGCCCATAGAATTTTGGAAGTGAAGAAGGATAAAAATTCTGTAATACTTAGAACGACACCAGCTCTAGCTGTTGCCTCTACCGAGTCGCAAGATATTATAATTCTTTATTGAGTTCAACTTGATTAAAAACATTGTACATTCTTCCTGATACTTTATACAAGGATATCATATTTTGTAACCTCACCAAATGAATCAAAAACTTGCTTTCTATTCTTTAGGTTCTTTAATTTTATTGTTACTTAATACTAACGAGCAGCATCGTCTTCAAGCGATGACACATGTCAAAACCAGCAGGATGTGAGTCATACTTTCACTACGTACTTTCGTACGCAATACCAAGACCGTGAGCAACCTCTTGAAATAAAATAGAATTTAAAATGGAGATAAGAAGAAAGGAAGTAGAAAAATAAAAGAAATTGGGTGTCTCAAATTTCTTGTGTGTGCAATGTGATTTTAAACACGAGCATCGGATGTTTTAACCTTACCTAATTCCACGTTCTTCTCAATGTACATTCATTTTGTTCTTACTCAATACCTACAAGCAGCGTCGTGTTCGCGCGATGACACTTAAAAAACCCGGCACGTCACCCTTTCACTGCGTTCTTTCGTTCGAAATATTACAGACGCGGGCGACCTCCAGTGAAATAGAATGTACGCGTCGGCGGAGTCGGATCGAACGAACTGGTTTCGAGCAATCCAGGTTTCCGAGTCAAGCGAGCGTCTGCCTTACCTCCCCGTTAGGCAACTGCGAGGAGCGGCCCTAGTCCACCTGCGGCGTTGGCTGACCTCCCCCTCCCCCTCCCCCTCCACCTGATTCGGTACGCCAGCCAACGCCCCCGTAGAGCAGCGAAGTGCGTGGCGGCTCCCTTTAAAGCATCCCGTTTCGAGTACCCGTCCGGGCGGGGCGGCGGGGCGTCGCCCACCGTCACGTGGGGCTCTCGGAATGTTAGCGGAGTTTTGCGTTCGAGCGGGTTCTGATTCGCTTTCGCCTCGCGCTTTAAATTTACGCGGTGACGCGGTGGGAACGGGCGTTGTGGGCGGCCAACGCCCGCGGCGAGGGAGAGGTGCGTGAGAATTCATTGCGAGGGAAAGTATTTACATTTTACTCGCGTCATTCTCGTGATAGGAGCCGCCAGCATATGTTTAGTATTGACTACGTTTCTAATTTCGTAACCAAAGAATTTGATAAAATTTGTTCGATGAATCATTGAAAATATATATCAAAATATTTCAAATTTGAGTAAACAAAAGCAAACAATTATTTTCATCAAGTCAAAATGTATATAAATACTCTTTTCTGATTTTTAGGTAATTTTTTGGCAAAAATTGAATAGATGTTATTTCTTTAAATGTAAGATTTCTCTTATCATTTTCTTTGTATATAGTATTATTGAATTATACACACTTGCAAACCCTCCCACTATTTTTTCACGGTTTTTAAGATATTGATACGTTTAGCAATAAATGTGAGAAAGGAAAGTTGCATATGCTTTTATTTCAAATATTGTATTAAAAGACGAAACAACAAAAAATGTTGACATCTTTTCGATCTGGATGCAAACGATTAGTTTTTATTGCGTTGATATTTCACTACGCAAATTTCTATGCAGACTGTGAAAACGTGCCAAACATAACAGTTTATACATATTTGTAAAATTTCCATATGTAGTTACTCTTACGAGTCACTTTGTTGGGTATCCTAATTAACTTCCGCGATAAACGGTTACAGAACGTTCGCTGGTTTGGCTTTCCTGTACATACAACATCCATTTATCTTCTGGTAGCATACTCCTATCGGGATGTTGGCGGTCAAGTACAATAGAAGTGAACGTTTGAAGTTTTATAAAAAGATGAGTGGTGACTTGGGAGATTTTACGGTATGCTTGATGTGGTGGTTCTGTCGTAATCACAAGGTAGAATCCCAAGGCTGCTCAAGTGGGCGGTCTTGGTCTTCCCTAGCCCATGGTTTATCAGCGGACTACCGGTGTGTCCTGCTGCTTGTGGAGTCTGCCCAATGGGAGGGGAGGGACTAATCGGCTCTAGTCTAGTGAAAGGCGAAAGGCGCGCAGGCAACTGCAGCTGGTTACCGCGGGTTTGACCAAATTAATGCATTAAAACAACTCTTTGGAAATCTCACAATAAACCCTACCTGTTGTCACCACTTAAACTGATTGCCGTTGGTGACTTCAGTGGTATAACGGTTAGTGAATCGGGCTCTCAAACCCAAGTTTTCTGATTCAAGCTCGATCGCAGTCGTGGATTTTGTTGATCCAAAAAATCCTTCAAAGAGGAATAAGACCCAGCTGCCCTATGTTGTAGATTTACTACATGTAAAATATCCTCAAGCCTAAAAGAAACCTCTGAGCTAAATTCATAACTGCCTGTTTCGTCGCCCCTGATTGTGAAAGGAGTGTAGCGCAATTTGCGTGGTCAGATAGAAGAATGGGTCTGATGGCATGAGTCTCGACACGTACAATTAAGCGTAATCGATGAATTGACTCTGCGGTTATTTGCGCTGTTTCGGTGAACACCAAATACAAGCGATGAAATTGCTTTGTTTTCCAGGGGCAGCAGCAGCGGCAACTTCTTCTCGAAGAGCCGCGGCAAGGACGACGACGAGGCGGCGGCGGCGACCCTCAGCCCGCAGACGGCCAAGAAGAAGGTGGCGGTGCGCAAGTTCCGCAAGCGCCCCGGCCAGGAGACCACCACGCCCACGCCCACCACCGCCTCCGAGGCCTACTCCCAGAGCTACGACGACGCGCAGTATAACACCAAACAGTACAACGACAACCAGTACACCTCCAACACTCGTCAGTACAACAATAACAACCAATACACCTCCAACACTCGCCAATACAACAATAACAACAACCAGTACAGCAACAACAATAATAATAACAACAACCAGTACAACGACCAATACAACGGCAACACCAGACAGTACAACAACAACAACAACAACAACCAGTACAGCACTACTGGTAACCAATATAACACCGGCAGCACCAGCAACGGATTCTCGAGCCCGTCGACAACCGTCGCCCCTACCGCGGCACGCGGTAGTTCCAACAACTACTTGCCTCGCTACAACACGATCCAGAGGAACGCGGCGTCCCCCAGCACCACCCAGGCCCCTTACACTGAGTCGCGCGCCGCCACCTACGATGCCTCCACTGGAAGCCAGAGCAACACCTATTATAACAACAACAACAACAACAACCGCAACACCGCTGACACTACCACTTATGCCACGACACCTGCGCCCACCAACTTTTACAACCAGCGGAAATTCGGCTCCAGCAACAACTACGATTCTTCCAGCTCGACTGCATACTCCACAACCACAGCGTACCCCACGAGCAACAATAATGATTACTACAATAACAACAATTATAACAATGGAAACTATTATGATAATAACAATTCCAACAATAATGGCAACTACAATAGCGGTAACTACAATAACGCTAATACCAATACCAATGCTAATAACTATGATGACGGTAGCTACAACAATGGAAATTACAATAATGGCAACTACAATAACAACTACAACTCCGCACAGCGCTCCACTACCAGGAAGGAAACTCCTAAAACTACTCAGTACTATCCCACAACTACTGTAGCCCCGTCCACTTACCGCCAAACTAACTACCAGAGCTACAGCCAAAGCCAGTCGACCACCAGCCGCCCTGCTGTTACCAACTACGACAACTACCAGCGCACCAGCAGCGAGGAGTACGCCAGCTACAACCCTGACAACTACGACTCCCGGAAAACTACTGGTTCTTACAACGCCGAGAACGCTTACGGCGAATACAGAGAGTCCGAGAATAAGGACGAATCTTTGAAGACCGCCCCAAGCACTAACTATCGCCCCAGCAGCTTCAACACCTACCAAAGCAGCTACTCCGCCAACGGTAATACAAAGACCTCCACTGCGCCCAAGAACTACCAGTACAACTCCACTACCACCACCAACAGTTTCACCAGCAAGCAGACCGGCAGCTCGTACTACAGCAGCGTGACACCCCGAAGCTACTCGAGCGCCTCAACGGCGACCTACACGGGCAGACAAGCGTCTCCCTCCACCACCACAACAGCCGGCCCTAGCTCTTACAGCGGCGGCAGCAGCAACTACTACCAGAACTCGTCTCCGAAGCCCTTCTCAGCGTCCAGGTCCGCGGCGTCGAGCACAGCAAGGCCGGTGTCCGTCACCCCCGGAGCGTCCACGGTGACCGGCGCGCAAGCCAAGGGGGAGACCAAGGCCGCCAACTCCAAGAAGAACGACTACGACTACGCGTACTACGACGATAAGGAACCAGAGTACGAGGGCGTCGACCCCATCAGTGACCACCATTTCGGCAAGGGAGACGAGTCTTTAAGGGTACCCAAGGCCGCGAAGGCGTAAAGGGCTGAGAGACTGAGCGGCTGAAGTTTGGAAGTAGGATTGAGTTATGCCGTTGCGTCGGTCGACAAAAATCAAATTTCATCAGCGTCAAATTGTGGAGTTGTTGGAAAGAACTTTTTTATGATGGTACCTTAGCTGGGTAAGAGCGTGTTCATAGGAGTGAATGAGAATACTCGCACATTATTCTTGTGTCATATCGTGGCAGGAAAATTCTGTCTCTCGACGTCCTTTTCACATAACGCAATTGCTTGTATTTCGTCGTAAAATTTGTCAACATGTAGGGAATAGTGCCAGTAAAAACCCTTGCGCGTTAGTAACTCAATGCAATGCCGAAGCAGCTGTTCAATATTAGATGTAAGTCATTTTATGTGGTCGCCAAAAACATAAATTGATATTTGCAATGCAGTCCCCGAAGTTGGTACTACTGTCAGTAAACAAATTGGATTGACTAAAATTTTTAGAAAATATATTTTTTTTCTTGAATCATGTTCGATCGTACGAAAACTTATAATATAGCCAGTCAGCATCCTTCATAAATTTTTTCCCTTTAATATTGTTCATTTTTATGAATCTAAAAAGTGCATGAAACTAGGCATTCAATACTCGTTTGCACAACCGGTTTACTGCTTCGAATTTCAATGCTATTTGCGAACCCAGTTACGAGAGAAAGTGCTATTACACAACGATAATTTGTTTGGTTAGCTCTTCATTCACACACATCTGCAGAAAGGTCAATTGCTGTCTCTGCAGATTACGAAACAGTGAGAAAGTTGTCAAGATTACACTGTTTGTAGTGCGTCACTTCCGGGCCCATCAACAGGAAGACGCTTCGGTGTGTTCTTTAGCACAACGGAGCCCATTTCCATACAGACGTTTTGTTTTCAAACAACAACGCAGCACTGCAATTGGAGAAAGTGTATGGAAATTTATTCCCACTCTTTAACGTTCCAAGTATATTAAGGCCATTGTCCTACGTTTAATGAGACCAGCTGCTGGTGCGTCAATAGTAGGTGAGGTTTGTAGGATCATGAATAATTCACACTCTTTTGTTATGAAGAGAGACGTGTTCATTGCCATATATTATTTCTTCATCTGGTGATGACCAGACAAGTTAATCGATTTTTTCAAGAACAACATTTTTTGTATGTCAAGATGGGAAGTTGTTAGTATTTTTTTGATAGTATGAATAAAAGACTTATATGAGAAAACTAATTTAATAATTATCCTCATTAATGTATTTTGATAAAAAGTATTTAGGCACAATATCTAAAACAGATGTTATCAAAACCTGATAAGTAAAATGTATTACGTCATAATACAACACTGTTACTCATGTGTTCGTTGTTGGTATGAAATAATAAAACTATTTCAAAAGCCCTCCGTATTTTCTGTTCTTGCCTCGACTCCTGGAACTTTAAGATTCCACTTGTTGAAAATCCTGCATCCTTAACATAAATAAAGTATTTATCTATGTATTAAAAATATAACTTACATTATTTTCAATTAACATTCTACGAATAGTTCAAGTGAACTTTCACGCAAGGTCTCTGAAACTTATTATGAAAACCAATTTAGTAGATGAACATCATTGGCAGATGTAATTAGAGGCTACCTAATAATCACTCAAAACAAAGTTGTCTGTTCGAATCTGACGTATGACGTTTGAGATGATGTTAAGATAACGTGCGCAGATTAGGAAAAGCTTGGGAGTCTAATCCAATAAATGAAAATGTATCATTGTATTTCCACCTGATGATCCCAATATGAAGATAGAGTACGTATCTAGAAATAACCGTCACATAGTTAATTTATTTCGCAAAATTTATAGTTTTCAAATGTTCATAACCTTCCTTTGTTGTTTTTTATTCATCATTCAACTGAGTATAGTAAAAGGATGGGGAAGGGATTCTGGAGCTCAAAAAAACGGGTACGTTCTTCTTTTTCCACATACGTAGGTTGTATAACAATGCAATTCAGGACGTCCCAAATAAGTTTCAGAGTAAATTGTTTATTTTTATACAACTAAAAAGCACATCAAGTAAATCGTATCATAAGAAAACAGTATATCAAGTAAACTCCTAAATTGAAGATCAAGATAAATTACAATGCGTACTTTCAAGAACACCAGAGTGACCAATCTTTTTCTAGGATGAATTTCTCTTTTTCATGTTATCCAGGCCATTTCCCTGTTTTTCCCTGACAAAATTTGGGAAATATTTCATGGTATTTAAATAAAATATTAAATAACGCATGACTTTGGTCAATATTAAAACACTGTTTTGTACTGGGCCCATTTCTCCTTTGCATTCCAATTTCTCTTGCACTAACATATTGTGTTAAATAGATGCACTTCAATTCAAATCATACACAATAACATTATTTTTCAGCTCTCAGATTGCAAGTTAAAGTTACAGTTAAAAGTCAAATATAACAATATTTGCTTAACAAAAGAATTAGTCACTTGCGTTCTCTTATGTAGCGCATAATGTAAAGAATACTTCACAAAAAGTAATAAAGAAATTAGCCGCTTGCGTTCTCCTATGTAGAAGATAATGTAATGTGTACTTCACAAGTAGTAAATAACTAATGTGTAGTTCACAAGCAGTCCCAAAAAGCATTTTTTTGTAGAACTGTCTAGAATAAGTATAAAAATTCAGGACTTTAGGAAGAAACAAAGAAACATCTGGCAGGACAGGGGAACACATGTTAATATTCAGGACACATTCCGCTTTTTTAGGACGTGTGGCAATCCTACCCATATGTCACGTACAGTCAGTTGTTTGTTGAAGAAAATCAAATCAAACTGAGGATAATAAAGTGGGAGGGTTTCGAGATTCCTTTGTTTTGTGTGCGTTATGATTCTAAATCCGAGGTGTCTGTGATTGGAGGCTGATGAAAAGCTCTAGAAAGGGGAATAAAGAGAAGCTGATAACATTTGTAAAAGTCCGAATGAAAATCAAACTTTATCGTACTAAATGCTACGTTATTGGAAAACTTTGTAATAATGTATAGTTATATATTAGATAATAATTCTAATTTAATATCCTTAATTCTACAATGTTCTTTGAAATATCTGTAGATCTGATTCGTCGAAAAAATATTACAAAACTGAAAAAAATTAACAAAACTGAAAAACAACAACAAGGATTGCCCACACGTTTGAGACCAGACGTACGTATGAACCGAATGTCAAAACTGACGTTACTAATGTAGTTGCTGCGCCGGGTATAAAACCTTACCTCTTAAAGGTAACATAAGCCGAGTTTTCAGGAGATCAAAGATTCCTCCATCTAAGATACGAAACAACACGCAAAACAGTCAAACGAATCGTAGTCATCAGATTCAGTATCAAAAGCTCACTACATAAAGTCTAAATGAATGTTATTTTACTAAACTTGTCAGATGACATTAAATAATTTAAGTCTACACAAAATTCAAATTCAGAGTAAAATATTTTCTTATGCAAAACTGTCTTCGTACATTTAGAAACTACTAGCGTACCCGTGCGGGAGCTCTTGCATGTTAACCTCCGCCCTCATTCCAATTGTTCCATTTCCATATTAAGGAGAAAAGTTGTTAACGAAACGTATTTATTTGTTTAAAAATTGTACAAAGTTAACTTCTAACATACTTAAAGAATATCAAATAAAAATAAAATCAATGCAATTGATATTTGAAACTAATTTCCAATGAAGGTGTATTCAGTATTGTAGACAGAACAATTGGTTTTTGGAACAATTCACAACACTTCCTTAAAAACATTTGAAATAATTATACAATCTCCCTTGACAATTTGTTTGTCTATTTCCTTGAAAGTCACAAAAATATGAGAAAAGCTTTTTTGCTCTTGGAAAAACTACGTAAAGTTGTTCACGCGAAAATACAGGATCGGGCAAGCACAACCCGACTCTTTGCAATTATTGAAATTGAAATGCAATGACTTATAGAGATGTTCCGAACCAGCAAAAACGTAATAGAACACCCCAGAAGATAGCATATTTTCTACAGTACATTCGTTTCTTCAATACGTTTCTTTGACCTCAAAATTCTAAGTTTTAAATCTTTAGAACGCTTTGTTTTGGAGTTATATGACTATAAATATTTTTAACAAGGCTGCCGGAGAGTTGCGGGTGGCATTTTTGCAATTGCAATTGTAAGTGCAATTCGTCACGTCCCCGCGAAATTCTCTTTCTTTAGAGATATATGTATACTACTGAAATAATATAGGAGACGACCGAAGAGCAAAACCTCTTTTCATATGAACATTTTCAAGGGGAAATTGGACCCAATGATTGCAAAAAGGGGGAGGGGGAGATTAGTTGATATTTCCGGGCACGTCAACTGCTCTGGCAATTAGTTCCTTGAGTGTAATGAATCTTTTTATTCCGAGAGGTTGCGATGTTCCTACCTAGCTGGATGGTGAGATCGGGCGACGACATACACGACGGCTTGCGAGGGATTTCAAGTATGATCCCAACGGGGTACTTCTAAGAATGTTCCTCAACGGGGTACCATCCCAGCCGGAACATGCTCTCTGCTCCCGACATATGCGATAGTGTAGTGCATGTAAATGTAAGTGCGTGTAAGGAGTAAAGATAAGACAAGAAAGAGAAAAGAAACATCGTGCGCGGTCCGTAGCCCATTTGTTAGGATACTGCTCCGGCATTCGCCTAGTATTGATCGGAGAAATCATGGAAAACTACCGGTCATAGCAGCTGACCACTGGAATTCTCCTCCAAATTGCGCCTTATTCGACCTAGCTATTCCGAAAATCCGACTCCATCGGGATTCAGGACTTCCCTGTCAGAATTGATGCAGAGACATATTTGCAAATAGAATTGATATGAAGTACGTATCCCCCTCCCTCAGCAATTGGAGTATCTGTTTAAAATTTGCAGGGCCTCCTCTAGGTTCAGATCGATCGGAATATATGCATTTCTGGCGAAATCCTGTACATACTTTAGATGCTAGTGTTTGTTGTTCATACACAAGACGATTTGGAATGAAAAAAAAAAAATTAATTGCACAAAATGCACGCAATATTGAAAACTACAAAAAATTTCAAAAAAATGTACTTAATGAAAGTACAAATTATTGACAACATATTTCATTTCAATGAAAAATGTTTTAAAAAATTAAAAAAAAATAAAAAACACCAACACTTTATCGGTGTCAGGAGAATCCAAAACGTGTATCTGTGATGTTGTAAGCCAAACGTGTAAATCTCGCAATCGGTTTTCCACAGCATTACATAACTTTCCCTACACTCCGTATATAGCCCACGTATGATTGCAGGAAAGTAATAATCGGTTCTGATTAGATTTGAGATTTTTTTGTAGTAAATCCAGAAATATGTTTCACTGCCTCATGCATGGAAAGGTCACATTAATATCACTCACGACCACCACCCCCCACCCCAACCATTTCAGAGCAGCCAGTCGGGCAAACTGCCAAAATCAACAATACAGAGACACGTGGATCACCCGGGGTATGAAAATATGACCCGCAACCGTGTTACAGGTTCTAATTGTGGCCCTCGCGGCCCTGCAATTTGGACACCCATGAATTGTAGTCTAGACTAGTCTATTCTAGTCTACACTAGAGCTCACTTCTTTTTATTCACCTTTGTACAACTCCCATTACACTTACCTGTTAGTTTCTAATTTTTGACTGTTGCCTCCACTGAATATTTGAGTGATTGGCGGTATAGGAGGGTTAACCAGTTTTTCCTCTTGAAGAAGAATAAGTTACCTGTTGAAACGTATTTTAGAGATTTTCCCAATACTACGCCATCTATCTGCCACATGTCTTCCTTAAAAAAAGTGAGTAGGTATTCACAGCTTTTTTCGGGGGGATATTGGATAAGAACGATGTGATTTCGGGAAAATTTGATGGTTAAGCGAGGAAGTAGAACATGTGTACATCATAACCACCATATATGCGAATTTGCCGTGGATTTGGCCGTGTAATCAGATATAATGAGAACATTTCTTGAACTCGGCGGAAATTGAAATAGATGTCATAATTCGCGTTCACAAAATAAAAGTAGTTTTTTTTATTGTCTGTCTCATAAATATTTGCATTCAGGATTATTTTCATTGACAATTTTTGTGTGTGCTCTCCCAACATTTGTCTTCAGTGTAAGTTTCTTTTATTTTATTTCGCTTTTTTTAAAGCTGAATTAATGGTGTGTTATATACCCCAATTAAGAACGTTGTTCCATGAAAGAATTCCGTTCTGTTTTCAGAATGAACTACTATCAAAACAAACTTTGGTAAGTTATTTGTGACAATTTTGTTTGTTTCAATGAAATTCATTATACTTTTTTAAATAAGAAAGACATTTAAAGCTTATAAATTATTAATTAAAGTGCCATACTTCATTTACACATTATTGGTTGATTATATGAAATGCTTATTTTAGTATTGTTTTAGACGTCCATTTTTTATTATTAAAAACTTGTATCAATGGTAACACTTCTTAAATTAGTTTTAAATCGGAAGTTTTCATTGACTGAAGCAGGTAGTGAAAATTATCTCTGGACATGATTTGTGGAATATAATTTTTAATAAAATAATTTTTAAAAAGACATCACAGGTGGGGATTAAAATTTACATTCCAAACTAATATTCTCAACTGTTATGAAAAAAAAATGTTGTTTATCTTCACATGTAATTAATCTGTGATGATAGTATGCATATGTAACTAATAGACTGCAGAATTTTCATGATGGTATTACTGCTGGAGATATTAATTGTGGGTAACTGTTTTTGTTCGTGAATATGCTGTGTGATGTTTGATTGATTTAATTTTTCTTGTCTTTTCAAAATTGTTTAAGCTTTCATTTATATCCCAAAAGTGTTACAAGGCTAAAATTTTTGGATAACACACAAAGGAGAGTAAAATAATTTAAAACAAAATATAATTTGCATATTTATTGATAAACAACTTCTCGTATCACACATTTTGCTATTTTTAACACACTTCCTTGCTTTAAAGAAGGAAAAATACAATTTATTTATGTTTTATACTTTGTTGAAATACAATTCAATATAATAAAATACTAAAATAATCTCCAAACTGGGAAAGTGGAAAACCTTTACGGAAAAGCACATAGAGAAAGTTTATTCTATTTTACAGTCATTGAAAACCTTTTGCACTTTGGTTTCCAAATGATGAATTGCACTATGCTGTTTTCCAGAAAAGGTTTAACCAATCACTTCCCTCACAGACTTTCAATTCATGATAACCTTTTCAACTGAAAAGATGAGTATTATTCATGTGCAATTATATTCTAGTTTGTGATGTTCAAAAAGCAATTCTCATTGACACATGATTCTTCAGATTACAGACATAATCTTGTCGATATATGTTGCAAGCCATTTCGGTGATAATATCTCTATAAAAATGTTTAATACTTCAAAAATCAGTTCATTTTAAAATTCAAGTTACACAGTGAGTACAACCTAATTTAATCAGTCAACTAATTGTGTAGATTTCCACACAACGTTTCATCTTCATTTTCACAACGATGAGACTCAGGGCTAAATGCAGTTCCTTTATCACACATGAACCTAAAATCTAGCAGTTGTCGACTGTGGAAACCTTGAGAACAGTAGTGGAAAAGATGGCAGTCTAATGGGTCAGGATGGTATTGGTGTAGCTCCTTACCATTACATGTGAAAGTCCTACTCTTAGTATCTTGGTGCAAATCATCAATGGATTGAGGTGTCTGTTCCTCTATTGAAGTTAAAGCATAGATCTCTTCTATTGGTACATTGCTAACAGGCAGGTTCTCAGTCTCAGATTCCCACACTGTTGTTGTTACTGGAGTTGTTGTTGTTATTGTGGTTGAGGTTGTAATGCCTGCCTTGGTAATTTTTTGATCTTCTCTGTCAACGAAGAAATTTTTCCTAGAAAATGTTGGAAGAACCGAAGATGGTGTCATTCCATCATAATCTACTGTTCTGTAGTCCTCTAAAGAAGTATAACTAACTGTTTTATCAGAATTACCAGAATTTGAATCAGAATATGTTTTTTGATCTACATTTTGACTATTTGTCTGGGGAACTTTTTCTGTTGATGTTATTTGTGGCACTGTTGTCATGAACAATTCATCAGGTTGTTGTTGAGTCATCTTAACATCAGGTAAAGCAATTTTTTCCGTTGATGGCTTAGAAGCAGATTCAGCAGATTTGTTTTTGAATGGTTCTCGTGTATCAAAATTATTTTTAACTTTAAATTCTTCTTTGGATTTTTCTTGTGGCAGTACTTGATTAGTGCGCTCATTAGGAGATCGTGTTTTTTCCTTTTCTCCTTGGATTACTCTTTTATTACTAGATGTATGCGCCCCTTTATTGCCTCGCCTGGTAGGTCTTGGTAATCTCAGAGAACTGTTTGGACGAATAGATACTGGAGGGGGCGGAGTGGTGGTTCTCCAGGTCCTGTATACTGGTCGTGATTTGTATGGATGAAGTAAATTAGAAGGGGTAGTGGAGACAGGTGTAGTTGTTTCAGTACTTGTATCAGGAGCAAATGTAGTGTATAAAATCTCAGTAGTTGAGTCTGAATTTTCATCAGAATCTGTAAGCAAAATATCTTTTTTGGGTAATTCATTGCTGTTCTCTGTATCATTACTATCATTATTTGTCTTTTTGTCTATGACCTGCAAGGAAGATACAGTAATTGCTGCATTAGTTATCGAGTCTTGATCTGAAGTAGCTTCTGAAAATGTTATTGTTCTATCTTCATTTTTTGTTAATGTTTCAGGTTTGTTTACTTCAGAAGGTTCAGATTCGAGAATATATCTGCTATTAGGATTCTCGGTATTTGCTATACGCTCAATATTTTCTGTCATTTTATCATCTATATAGTCATGATTAATTTTAACAGTGGTAGTTATAAAAGAGTCATCTTCTGCAAATGTTTTGTGTCTTTCAAGTACTGAAGTTGCTGTAGGAATATCACTTACAACTTCTGAAGAGATTCTCTCATCTGAAGGAGAAGCTAAACTGTCTAATTTTCCATTTTTATGTTGGTCATATTTTTCAGGATCTTGAGCCTTGGCATTCGTTTGTGCTTTTGCAAAATTCTGTTCTTCAGTTGTTAATTCAGGAACTTCCTTCGCTAAAATTTCTTCTCTAATTTTTTCTGTTTCAGAAGAATTAATTTCATCTGAGGAATTATTTTCTTTATTTTTAGGAGAATTGTCAACTGATAGTATCTTCTCTTTGAGTTCCTCTAGTTCCAAAAGGGGTTCATCATAAGTGTAGTAATCATAGTAATCATCACTTGCATTAACTTCTATTTTGTGTATATCTTCAGCTGATGCATTCAGTTTCAGCAACAACTCATTTACTTTGGTCTTGAATGGATTTCCTGATTCTTTCTTTTGTAATAAAGTTTTGCTTTCTTCTACCTGACTGTTCTGGTCTGTGCTTTTCTTGTGTTGAATGTTGTCCTCTGTGTCAGAATCTTTAGTGAAATTAATTTTGTGTTTTGAGTTTTCTTTGAGCACAGAGTCAGAATCTTCAACGGAAAGGTTTTCTTTTGTTTGAGGAACATCATGAGTGTATTCAATTGATATATTTGGTTCATCTTCATTTTCTGTTTTAATTTCTTCTGATAGTGTGCTTGTAAATATTCTGTCACTATCATTTGCAATATTTTTGTTTGTGGTTTTGGATTCACCTCCTTTGTGATTATTGCCAATGCTGTCTGCAGATGTTTCGCGTTCTGTTGTGCCAAAGTCTTCATCAGAATTTAGTTGTGATTCATTATTTTCCTTTACAGAAGTATTTTCATTCGATGAATTTTTATGCATTTCTTCAACTTTATCATCTTCTTCCTCTGTGTTGTTCTCAATACTTGCACTGTCTCTCTCACTTTCATCACTTTCTGTGTCAGGTTCTTCTTTGGAATTTACATTTTTTCTCTTACCTTTGTCTTCATGGCTTTCACTTTCTTGTATTTCATGTGATTCTGATTCATATTCTTCAGAATTTAAAGTTTTTCTTTTTGCTTTATCTTCATGGCTTTCACTTTCTTGTATTTCATGAGATTCTTTATCAGATTCTCTTTTAGGATCTGCAGTTTTTCTCTTTGCTTTGTCTTCATTACTTTCATTGTCTTCTGTTTCATGTGATTCTTGAGAACTAGATTTTTCGTTGATGTATTCTTCTCCTTCTCCGCTCTGGGTTTTAGTATTTTCAAGGGAATGGGTTTCAAAATCTTTTTCTTCTGATATTTCTGCTTCTGTACTTTCATAACTAATTTCATCACTCTTTTTTGTAGTTTGACCGGGAGACTTCTTATTTTCATGTTGTCTGACTTGCTTTCGCGTATTATTTTCTTCATGGAATGAACCACTCTCTTCAGTGTGAGTTACCTCTCCAGAAGAATCGTATAATTCCCCTTCAGAGATATCTTCATAACTTGCTTCTGAGTGGTCACCTCTTTCTGCTGATTGTATTTCATCATCAGTGTAATATGATTCTGTACTTTCTTGATCAACCTCACGTTTGTGATGTTTTACAATGAATGGGTGATCTTGTATTATGCTCCTTGAGCTCCTAGATTTAGATTTTGCAAATGAATGGCCAGGTTGTGAGTAGATTTGACAGTCTATTTCTTGAGAAGCATCACAGTTGCCTTCATGCTGGTTGAATAATGTGCCTGGGGGACATTCAAAAGTTGAAGCTAAATAAAGGCCATTTTTACTTTTTTGACACAAATGGAAATATTTGCAATCTGTTTCAGTGTCAGCATACAATCCTTCCTGAGGCTTATCTTCACAGTGGAAATTTGTAGCAGGAGGGTTTTGCAGAGAACTTGCTGTGTAGCGATTTTCCAAATGGTGTAATTTATTTTGTGTTTCTTCCATTGATCTTTCTTGTGCATTTCTTTTGTTCCTTGATTTAGATTTGGCAAATGAGTGTTCTGGTTGAGAATAAATTTCACAGTCTATTTCTTTAGAAGCATCACAGTTTCCTTCACGTTGGTTAAAAGATGTTCCTGGAGGGCACACAAATGAAGAAACTAAAAATAAATGACCCTTCTTATTCTTTTGACATAAATGAAAGTATTTGCAGTTTGTTTCTGTGTCAGCATACAGTCCTTCTTCCAATTTATCCTCACAACTGAAGTCTGTGTCAGGAATGTCTTGATCTGCGTTACGTTTATTGCGATATATGTTTAGTGGTAACTTAAATTGGACTGCTGATTTGAGAAAATCTTTTGCAGTCTGTCTTTTATTTCTGGAATTAGATCTTGCAAACAAATGTTCAGGTTGCGAAAATATTTCACACTCTACTTCTTTAGAAGCATCACAGCTGCCTTCGTACTGGTTGAAAGATGTTCCTGAAGGACATGCAAATGTAGAAACTAAATGGAGGTGGCCATTTTCCCCCTTCTGGCATAAATGAAAATATTTGCAGTTTGTTTCAACATCAGCATACAGTCCATCTTCTGGTTTATCATCACAACTGAAGTCTGTTTCTGGTGGGTTGTCCAGAGCTCCTTCATCATCTTGTAAAGCTCCTACCAACAGAAATAGTATGTTAAGAATTTCATTTGCTCATAAATCATTGTGGGAGACAATTCCAAATAAATATAATTGAAATATATATTTTTTGTGTTTGCTAGAGGTATATATTTAAACATTTTTACTCTTTTCAAAGTTGCCTTACATTTGCAAAATTATAAATACATAATATTTTTTAAATGGCAAGTTTCAATAGTAGCTTAATAAAAATGCGCACACAGAATATTTTTGAAATATCCTAAACATTTTTTATGTATTTTTATTGATTTTTGTTCCCTCTGGTGGGACCAGAAGCTCAGCACTGAATTTTCCTAGCAGCAAAACTAGCACTTGCGTACTCTCTACTTTAGTTGGGAACTTCCTTAAGATTGCTTCTTTACATTTATTATTACTTTTTCAATGTTTTCAACAAAAAATAACTTTTTTTTAAAAATTAATTTAAAAATGTGTCATTTTATTTCAATTATCCTTCCCTGCCTGTTTTGAATTGAAAATATCAGGGTTTCCCAACAGATGCTTTGCTGGAATTCCATAAATGAGATTATATTGGATTGAGGAAGCAACTAACGAAAGACATTTTATGAAGACAGTATAATTGAACTGATAAATGTTTTTTAACTTTTGTAAAGAATTTTTTTTATTATGTGAGTATTAATTGAGTGAAATTGAGCATTTGTGAAAAATGTACATTCCTTGGTTTGTGAATGCAAAAGAAGAGCTAACCCTAAAATTATTTCCCGCTGCAATACCATTATTTCAAATCCAACTTTACAATTCAGTAAAACAGAATTTGAATGCTCGTCTCTTTTTTGCCCATTCCTTGACCATTGCATTTGGCTTGAGCTGCATAACAAAGAATTAATTTTAAATTCTTTTATGAACCTTTGATTTTTTTATGAGGGGATTTTATTTCTCCAAACCAACAAACCCAATAGTTTGATATCTTGTTACTCTCCAGAAATTCTTTGTGAATGAAACAATATATTTTTGAGAATTCAATAAATATATTTGAATAGCTGTGTCATTTAAATTTAATAATTTTGACATAAACACAAATACTGACATTTTGTTCTGGCTCTTCTACAGGACCTATTGCTTCCCACAGAAATTATTGACACAAATACTCATCAGAAATAATGAGACCACACACTGGACTCTGGTCTCATTAATTCTAATTAGAATCTGGCATTCCATACAGAGGAGCTGAGTGAACCAACCATCCATTCTTGATAGGGTGCAAAACAATCTTCATGCTTCATCAAACTGAGTATCTGTTCTCTAGCCAGTGCGAATTGAATAAAACTGGGTGACTAGTGCTATGTTAGTGGTTAAATCTATTACTTCTATTTTGTTTGAAGTTTTATTTACAGAGGAAGAAGGATGCATTTAAATGCATTTGTCCACATCATTGTGCCACCCTCTTGACAGACAATATATGTGATCACTTTTTTTATTAATGGTTTGTGAAAGTCATTGGAAAGTACATGCTTGTATGAACATGATGATGAAAGAGTCATGAAAATGAAAAGTCTGATATGTTTAGTCAAGTCTTCCTAAATAGTTTGTTGTGGAATTTGTGTGCTTCAAAGTTATTCTAAAACAATATCTGTTACCTTTTTAAGAAAAAAGTAAGGTTAATATCATAAAATGTCCCTGGGAATTATTTTGTAACTTGTATTGAAATTTACTTTTGGGCATTCTGAATATTTATATGATTTTAGAAATGTCTGTAATTTTTATTCATATTATAAGCAGGGAACAGATTTCTATGTAAATACACATTTAATAAATAAGCTAATGTCAATACTAATTTGCATTATCTTTATGTTTCACAAAATGTAGATTTGAAAACTGTTACTTTTATTTTTCATATTTTTCCTTATTTTGGGTTTTGGTACATATTTGAATAAAAGCCCATATATTTTCCATTCCTTATAAAATCAGTCCTTATGACATATTAAGCTTAACAAGGAAATTTCATTAAAACTTAAAAATTCATCTCAAGAATAAGAGCTTAAAAAGTTTCAGTAATTTCTTAAACATTAGTGTTTTTGGAAACTTAGTGAGAATTGACAATGGGAAAGCATGTTAAGAAACTGTTAGTTTTAATTTATGTGGAGAATAATCCATTCTCTGGCCCCAAGGCCATATTTGAGGGGTCTGAGTGTCCTGTGGGGTGAAAGGGAGAGCGAGGAGTCGATGAACTATTGGATTTGTTTGACAGATGACCTTGAAACCTCAATGGTCTGTGGAAAAAACATCTAATTTCATTTCCACACTTCTCCCTCTTTCCTTCCCTCCGAGGCTGCCACCCGGAAATTGCATGACATTAGCATTTGGGATATCAAATTTCAACTTATACAGCTCTTCATTGTCAGTTACAATTAAGTCAGAATACTATGTGTTGCTTCAGTGCTATTAATCTCTCTATTAAGCCAGTTTAAAATGCTATACGTAGCACAATCAGTCAGAGTAAACGATTCATTTCAGAATTTAAAAATAGTTTATCAACTGACAATAAAATATTATATCATCCTAATCATTTTTTATCATATGAAGGCCATATTTAACTCCATATTTTGATAAAATAACTACATATATATGTTTACATATTTCATAAATTTTTAGTCCGTATAAATCCATTTCCTGGTTATATGTCATATTTTGCTCTGATTAGTAAATCTTTAGAGTGTATTTCTATACAACTGTACAGAGATTTATACAGTATTCACCAAACCATTTATTTCAACCATAATAAATAAGAAACTACTATATAAAACCAGTATTATTAAATATGTGTCATATTTAATGTTTGATGGAAAATATAGTGTGAATCCTGGAATGTTTGGCATGCTGTTTGTAATTAATCTTTGATCAACTACTAAGTTCCTTCATGCTTCCAAGAAGAGCTACATAAACTAATATTTACATCTATATTCAGAGATATGAAGAAAGAGATATCATGCAACCGGATACAGAATTCATATTGCAGGTGCGTTCAGCAAAAACAGACTTACATATATTTGTATTTACCGGAACTTCAATCACATGATAAATGTCATATGTCATCAATGGCTGTCAAGCTGTCAATGCTGTAAGAAGACATGGTGTAATAATTTTCAATGAGTGTGTGTGATGTTGGCGATATTCCTGAGATGTTTATAAGCACATGAAACATACCCATTTGTAATTGCTCTCGACATGTTAAAAATAAATGTTATTTATTGGTTAAATAAACTTATTTGTACTCTCACTTAATATAATTCAAATACATATATATTCATAAAAATAGGGGTATTCCTTCATTTCCTATTTCATAAATTAATCATTTAACTTTTGAGATTACTTCAAATCATCACATACACACAAAATAATTAGGAACGATAGGTGAAAATGTGAATGTTTTACACACACATTACTCTTAAAATGTACAGGATAAAAGGATAACTTAAATTTACTTTGTCTAATATTGTGGAAGGAAAGAAAATTACCTTTTTGTGTTGCTCGTTTCGATACTTTATGTGACTCAAACATTAGATCAGGTACTGGTTCATCTATAAAAGTAAAAAAATATAAGAAAATTAAAGATTATCAGTAAAAACTGAAATAGAAAAGTATTGACTCTATTAAATTTGTGGATTGAATGAGTATTAATAATGAATAATGTTGAATGTGTGATTCAAATGTGTAAGGTTACTTACTGTCCTCCGGAAAATGATATGGCAAGTTGACATGGTACAATGATGTGGCAAGATTACAGTTCACCAAATGCTTTGTTTGGCAGGTGCGAGACATTTGATCAAAACGTGTACCGGGGCCGCATAAAAACTTATCATCTCGTATTCTGTAAATAAAACACAATATAGAAAAGAACATTTCATTTAAAGAATAATTTATTTCAACTAGTGGATTAGCGATTGCTAGCCAAATTATGTGCAGAGTATTAAAAATGTCATAGGAGTTTCTTGTTAGTTCATAAATATAATTTTTGCTATACAGACAATTCTTTTTATTAAATTTCAATGAAAATTTGTTAACTCTTGAAAAATGTTCATATTGAATGTTGTTAACTGGTAATATTTTGTTATTCATGCTGAGTGCACAAATACGTAACCATTTTTTTGGAGAAAAATAATTTTAAGGAAAATATTATTTTAAATCAATCTCTCTTTTATTCTTAACAATTATTCTAAATAAAAATCTATAATGTATAATAGAGATATAAAAATTTAACATATTCAATTACTCATGTAAGTGAAACAAACAATTACATAATCTTGCAATTTATACCTCTATTTTTTAATCTTAATTTTATATTTTTCTTACATTCCTAACAATTTCAGCAGTTTTGAAGAAAAATGTGTATTAATGTCAAGTATTCTGTTTTTCTCTGGTGAACTTTTTCTTTCATTTCACAAGCCTGGGAACTACATTACTTCTGTTAACCACAAAAAATTACATATACTGTATTTAATCAGGTTGTTAGAAATATTTTCAGTCAGAGTAAAGGCCTACATTGAATTCATAGATAAGATTCCTCAAAAGAACAAGCCTAAATAGCACTATATAATTTATTTGTAATTTACAAATTATAACAGAAATTTCAAATCTTTGATAAAATATTATGAGTACAATACATGGTTATCTGTATCATCTTTTTCCGAAAACTTCTGGTAAGTAAACAGGAATGTTAAATATTCAAGATAAAGATGCTCAAAATTGTTATTTTAGAACATTTTCAACAAATAATTTAGAGATAATCATAACAGTTCCCCAAATCATTATGATAGTAACAACTAACAAGGATTTAACAATTTTTTGCTTCCTTTTTCTTTCACATTCCCCTCTCACTTGAAGTTAGCAGGGCCTAATCTATCCTCTGTGATCTTTACTTCTAATGTTCCTGTGTTTACTACACAAATGTGTACTTACTTTCCATGTCTTCCAAGCACACAGATATGGAATAGCTGGCAGTCTGCTTCAGGGTCTGCATAATATCCTCCAACTACTTTACCATCACATGTGAAACTTGTTTCTGGTAGAGGCTGTCTTGTAGTTGTAGTTGTTGGAAGCTCACTTGTTGTTTCAAGTAGCACTTCCTCTGTTGCTTTTGGTTGAACATTGATTGTTTGCTGCTTCTGCCTACTTCTATGGTCATTCAGGCCTGCTTGCTGAACTTGAGTTTCTTGAACCACTGAGTCTCTAGTTACACTCCTCTGAGAATCTCTTGTATTAAAAGATGATTTGCGTCTTGATGGTAATCGTTTAGAAATTTCTGTGGTTGGAGCATCTGCATTAGGTTCTTGAGAGGAATCAATATTTAAAGAAGGAGCTGTGGGAACATAATTCTGTCTTATTGTGGGAAGAGTCTGTGATTGCCTTCTATTTGAAGTAATACTGCTACTTTCTTCTGACTCTGGTTGAGTCGTTTGTTGCGAAGCTGGCTTGTTTCTAAACCTGCGACTTCCTCTGGTTCGCTGAATATCTTGTGTTTGCCTCTTTCTTCTGTTGCCTCGGCCTTGTTTTAGTGAGATCCGGGGTACATCCTTAAAAAATGGATCAAGGGCCACATCTCTTTCATGATATTCATCATAAGATGTTGGAGGTGATGTAAGGTGTTGGGTGTCATTGGAGTGAGATTTTTCATCAACAAAAGTTGAAGGGCTTAATCCACTGTTAATGCCAAACGCAAAGCTGTTAACATTAGCTGGAGGATTTTGTGTATTGTGGGTATCTGGGTGTTTTATAGTTGTTTTAACACTTGAAACACTGCTTGTAGACGATACTACAGTAGACTGTACAGATGGAGTAGTGAAAACATGATGTTGTTCAGTTGGTCTGCCAGTGTATTGGAAATGTATAGGATTGGGTACTATTTGAACGTTTGACTGACGTCCCAGATAACCTTGTGAATTTTTTTGCGTTTGGCGATTTCTATTTTGATCGTGGTAGAAATCAGGAGGTATGTTAGTTTGGATTAAATGTCCAGCATTCTTCAGTGGAAACTGGGTCACTGGGGGATGAGATGTCACTGAAAAGCCACCAGGACTCTTCCCTGAAAAGAAGTGTGATGGTGCTTTAGTTGTAGAGAATAAGAATTGATGATTTGAATGGCTGTTGCTGTGAGCACTCGTTCCAAACAAATTCACAGGTTTTGGTGTGGTTTTGAGTGCATGAAAAGGAGAAGAATCAGTCTGGTGAATAATTCCACTTCCCCCTCCGCTCTGGAGGTTTACTTGAGGCCAGGAGCTAGAAGACGATGAAGGAGGAGGGAAGTGATCCAGGTCAGGGCTATGGCCTCCGCTTCCTTCAGGAGCTGTCTCAAACACATGGTCTCCACCACTTGGGAATGTAAGGAATGAGGATGATACTGAATGTGGGGATGATGTTGAAGAAAAGTGGACTGTGTGTGGTTTTTGACTGAAAGGATGCAGAGTGGAAGATATTGTTGATATGGTTGTTGGTGGGGTGAAGGGGTGGGCGGGTGTTGTGGAGGTTGGTGGAGGAGATGTTGTGGTGACTACTGTTGTAGGTGTGGTGGGAGAAGTAGTTTTCAGAGTTGTTGGAGGAGATGGGGTGGTTGGAGGTGAAGGAGAACTACTTTGGGTTTGACTGTGTCGGCTCTGTGATTCTTCATGATCTTCAGCTTCTTCAGGCTCCTCCTGGCTGAAAAAAGAAGCAAATAAGAGTATTGACAGATAATAGTTCAAACATTCAATAAGATCTGTCATTTTGCAAAAACATCAAATTTCTACTGTTATACCAGAATTTTATAAAACTTTGAAATTTTCAATGTATTCTTGCATCCTATGACCTATTATAAGATCTAACATTTTCACTTACCCATATGTTGCACCCGTGTTTCCATACAATTCGAGATTAAGACCATAGAAACCTTCGGTCTTCGAACAGTCCACTTCATCAACTCGTTCACAGACACGTGTCTCTTGATCAAAAACTGTGCCATTGAGGCAAAGGAACTTTATGTCAGTAATCTCCCCTGAAAAATTTTAATAATTTATTAGCTTATATTAGTAATTTATCATTTTTGCGCTGAAAAAAAACAACTTTTCATGTCCTTAAATTTGTGGATAGAAATTAAAAAATTATATAGTGCTTGATAATCAACAATTCTCAAATATGTGCAACTTTGTTAAAATTCATTGCAAATTTTACAATATAACTAAAAATAATAAATAAATACAATTTACAAAAATGCAAAATTTACAAGATATGATTAATTACATTATGCTTTTGTGCTACAGAAAACCCCTCCGTTGGTGTAGAAAAAAGGGGTCCATAGAAATTCAAAAATCTCTGATAATAGAAATATTTTTGTTTTAAATGTATTAATGAAAAGGTAATTTATAAAGAAACGTCAACAAAGAATACATATTATAATTTACAGTGCTATGAAGTAAGACATACTAAGTAATCTGTTTTAAAATAGTACATGTTACAATTTTATTTGCAGAAATAACGTTGCTTTTAGGTATTTATTTTCTAATTTTTTTCATTACCTACAATTAATTCAAAATTCATTTCCAAATCAATTGAATAAATTAAAATAATTAAATCATCTCAAGGTTACAGGTTAGATATGTCTCTGACATCATTGCTTTTTTCTTCAATTCCTTCCTTTAATAACTTTTTTTAATGAAATATATCCTGGATAATTGGATTCCCAGCTAAAGGAGGTTGCACTGTATATCAAAGTTCCTTCATAATACTATGATCTTATCTTCAAATGAAAACTGATATGGAGCATAATATAACCAAAATCCACTTATATTTTTAAATTACCCTTCTGACCAATGGTGCAGACGTGGAACATCTGGCAACCAGTCTCCACATCTGCGTAGTATCCTCCAATAACCTTTCCTTCACATGAGAAATTTGTGTCAGGTAGGTTGTCGAAGTCCAGGTACTGTGAAACAAAAAATAAATTATGTAATTTTTCGTGTTGAAAGAGAGACATTCTTATCCTGACATAGCACCATTAATGTCACTTATTTTTTCCAACAAATTCAGTTCAGTTCTAGTTATCAGAGTTCATTAGTGCCCTCTGTTGTAGAGAAATATATCTGAGCCTCAGTGACATGAGATTATCTAAGAACACTTAGTCTGGAGACTGGGTAATACAGACCTTTACATTGTACCTGAACATAAATTTATTATGGTAAAGAGCAGTAAATTTTGGAACAAAAATGTGAATTCAAACTCTTCTAGTGGGTTTTTCAAGGATTCAAAATAAATTTTGAAAAAACAAACTATTTAGGCCCTACTCCTAATACAAATTAACCTCTGTAAGTTATGTCTGTTACATAGAGAAATTAATTCTGTTGCATGAAAATATTAGATCTGTTTTATGTATGTAAGTATGTGTGTGTGTGGGATGAACTTTTACTTGAATTAAGGGACCCCCATGCCTTTTATTTCTTCTTCTTTTTCCTCTTGATTTCTCCAAAATATGAGTCATCAGTAGAGTCCGGATTATATGCAAGTATTTTTGGAAAAATATGCACATATATGTGAATTTTTTTGTTTCGAAAATATGCAAGGAAATGGAGATCTATACCAAATTATATGTAAATATAATAAAAATTTTGCTGTGTAGTACATTTATTATTAAATACTACTTTTAACGATAGGTTACTATGTGTCAATGTCTTCACCAGACAGTAGTATTTACAAAACATTTTACCACCGATTTTCAAAATTCTCACCCAAAACATTACTTCTCTTACCTGTATACATATCTTTGTAAATTGGAAATTCGTTCAACATCTACCAATGTTGTTGGGCAATTTTTAAATTGTGCCATTAACGAATGAGACATATTTAGATCATTAACAATTTCCCTTGGGAGAACCTTCTTCTTGTTGCAACCTACTAGAATCTACACATTGTTCTTGTTGCAAGGAGAATTGAATAGACGGAATTTTCGAGTCATGTCATTTCGCGAAGACGTTTTTGGTGTCCGAAAAATGGAAAAAACGAAAACTACTTACTTCTAAGAAATTTACCCTGCAATTTATGAGTCTAATTTCTTTAATAGTGATATGCTGATATATACCAGACTGTTAAAAATATGCAATTATCTAAAACATTTGCAAAATATTCTCGTATATGCAACTTGCTTATAATCCGGTCCCTAGCCATCAGCTTCTAGAGGGGGGGGGGGGCTAAAGCCCTATGGGTGAGTCGCTGCAAATTTGTAACTTGCAAATGGCCGCCGGAAGCTCCAGGCTCTACACATTCGGCATTCGCCGAGCAGTGAGCCACACACAGCGAACAGCTGATGTGTACGGCGAATGTTCGCTTCTTTTGATGGGTCCAAAAGACCGACATGCGGTGGGTAAGGCGAGCACCGAATGTACGTCACTCGATAATGAGCAAACAACCATCCACACTACTTGGGATTCGGCGAGCGGTTGCTCGGTACTCGCGGAATAACGAATGTGAGGAGAAGAATGTTTGGATGAGAGTAGGAATGAACTCCGGGATACTTACTCCTGGAACGGCCCCGCAGGCGCCGCGCCAGCTGACTTGGCATCCGAGCACCAGCAGGACAGCTGCGAACAGAAGAGGGCACTGAGTTATCGATTTTGAACTTTCTAAAAACAATATTAATTTTAAAAAATCAACCAATGAGGTCTGTCGTCAAATTCACACTGAGGTCGCAATAAAATATAACGAAGTTAATTTTTTGAAAATTTTGCGAAGTTTAAAATAAGAAGCAGAGTGTAGTAGACAATGTAAACTGAGGCAGAAAGAAAGCATTACGACATTGAACTGATGAAACAAGAACGAAAATAAGGAGACAAGTAAATTTCAAATAATAATTCTGTGAACATTGTGTTTGCAATAGCTTAGAAAGAATACGCTTTCATTGTATGATTCAATCGGAATCATTTAATCCTTGAATAAGATTACAATTATTTCTATTTTTATGTGAAAGTATTATGTATATTTTATTTTGAAGTGTGAATAGGCCCTACTCATTACCGGGCATCCCTTTTATCTTGAACAGTTTTCAAAATCAGTCCTTTTTCTAAGGAACAAAAGAAGTCCTAGTTCTGATTTTCATTTCATTAATCCTGAATACAAGGGCAAGTAATAGTTATAATTTTTAGGGGGAATATTGTTAGGTATACCTATTAAAAAAGGCCTGTATACCTGTTAATTTAAACTTTTTAAGAACATATATATATTACTTATTTCCAATGCGCGCAGAAATTAAAAGAAGACTATGCAACCTCCGGCAATGCAAAAGGGTCTTATTTCGTTAGATACACAGGAACTTCTGAAAATCCAAAAACAATGGCACCGTTTCGATTTTGACAGAAAAATACAAATATTTGATTACGTTAATCCGCAATTTCTCATACCGTGCGTGAATTCTCTTACTCAAAACGCCATTTCTAACGACACAGCTGACGTGTGACAACAAGGCTCCAAAGAAGCGACCGCCCGCCATTAAATATTTGCTATTCATGTTTTGCGTTATGGAGCAGCAACTTTTGTGCAAAGAACTGGTGTACTGTGTTCATACGATTACAGTGTTCGTGAGGACAGTCGATAATTCCCTTTTATTGCAGTGTTATACGTGTGTATATTATTTGTTGTTCTTGAGAAAATGCCGTGCTCTTTTTTGGGTAACTAATTTGAGTGGTTGCGTTCAGCAGCATGTTCTACTGCTGCAGGCCATTAGTGATATACCGATATGAATTCTATAACAATGTTTTAACCTGCCGTTTAAAAAAATATGAAATTATTTCTCATTATTCTCATTTTCAGCTCCTCGGCGATATCGTGAAAGAACTGCCTCGTCAGCAGTGTAAGGAATTTGCGACTCGACTTTCCTTTCCCATTTCTTATTTCTGGTTCCTGATTTCGCTTTCGAGCGAATTTAACGACCTCTTGAAGTCGAGAAACGTTACCTTGGAGGTCGTGGGGCCTTGACACTGCGCGATACTTTGTTTTCTACGCCCTTTGCTTTCTCCTCTCCTGCCAGAGGGGTAATTGGTATATAAAATATCATGCAGCTGTTTCTATACATTACAGACTCACCACCGTGCTTACAAATGCATGTTATGTTTATATTGTGTATGAATCGTTAATCTTCCGAGCATCTTCATTATTAACGATATACCTGAATATTTTGTCGACATTTTTACATTGTCATGGTATGGAACCGTTTTGTCCCAAGATCAATGTTAATTACATAATGTAGGTGTACCACTGTTTCGTTGGTATGTAGATCAAAGCCTTGCCGTGTCCATGAACTCGAATCGGTTTCCATGCTCAGTGTTTACTGCAAGGAGAGCGAGTTGGTATCACCTACATTAACAGCGAGAATGGATATACTGATCAATTGCACGTTAAGAAATATTGATCAACGGGAGGTGTATTCCTACATTTAAAAATGTCTCTTCTAACGGGCATTGTGTAAGTTATTTTGTGCTTTTGCAAATAGAATATCATTTATGCGTTTTGAATCCATATTGCTACATATGAAGTTATGCGTCGAATAGGAACGGAAGTGTGTTCCTGTGGTGATAAAAAAATGCAGACAAGTGTGTAATCATTTTATCTCCATCTACCATCTTTTTAATTCACTGTGTATTTGCAACAACGCTTTTGCGTTTCTAATTTTGTGTTGCGAGGCTTTAAAATCTTGTGAAAAAAAAGAAAATTTTTCTTTAAGTGATCCTTTGAAGATGTCAAAGCCCTCGTGTTCACAGACAAACCAAATATTCGCCATATTAAACATTATTTTCAGAGAAGACGCATTTAGCTTGTACTTCAATGAAATGGTGTCTTGAATTAAAATGACCAAGTTGATGTGAGAGCCCGCAGCGTGAGTTTTGAAGGAGGAAATTCTGTTGCTATCTCCCCCCCCCTTACGCTGACATCCGCAGGTAATCCGAGCGAAACCCATGAAAACGCTTTCGATAACCGCCGATATCCTGCCTGCGAGAACGGGGTCATGCGGAGCACGCGTCGCGGCCGCTGCGCTGGGCGGACCTAGCCGCCAGAGACTTAAGGACCGCTTTGACAGCTACTGCTTGGCCACTGCTGGCAACATTTCAGCAGGTTATAATATAACAATAATATTAATTTTTTTCTGCTAATGAGCTTTCGCTCGGTGGCAGAGTTTTGCAGCACATATACAGAGATGTTAATGTTACATATATAGGAATGCATATAATATGAAAGCCCATTCATTATTATTATGCCCAATTAAGCCCATTATGCCCATACATTCGTTTTGTCAGTGTATTCCTTTGCAGCTCATTTATTATAGCATCATCAGCGTATATTGCTCATTTGTGTATATGTTTTATCACTGTCTTTTGCAATGTCATTGCCCTGCATAATGTTCATTCTTTTCTCCATTTGTCGAAGTGAACCCTTCTTAGGGTAACTTCTCTATAGTAAGGTGCTTCTAGTTTACTTTAACTTTGCATGAAAGCGCTAATACCTATTAGATCAAGTACCACTTTCTAGATATATGCATCTCATGCATGCCGGGAGATATGGTAGGAAGTGTGGTATTCAGCAAACTACGAAAGAAATAACGTTGAGAGAATTATGTGCAAGAACATTAGTAATTATAATTACAATAATAATTACACACTGTTTTTCATGTCGTTAGAAATCAAAGCAAATATACTTGTATGTCTTTCGAAATGTGGAGTCAAAGAAAGTTGCGTCGAGATATCTCGACAGCTGTATAGGGATCCAACATTTTTCTTCTTAGTGTGACTACAATTTTTTAATACAAAATTAGCGAATTAAAAATGACGTCAGAGATTTGAAAAAGTAAGTGTAGATATTGATGTTGTATTATATTATATTGTATTATATATAAGTAAGAATTGATATTGAAGTGAATATTTTCTCACCCGAAAAAAAAACAAAAAACAAAAAATTAAAATCTTGCTGAACTAAGATGTGATTTCAAAATATGAGATTAATAGGTGAGATTTGTTTGGGGGTTTGCCTTCGTTCCCATTTGACACTTTTACTGTAGAGATTCAGTTGCGCATTTTTATTAGAGGCTCGGGAGCGTAAGGAATAAATATGAAGAGTCCCTTTATAGAAACTTACATTTAGATTAATTTTTGTCAGATCCACAGAAATCACACATTGTTAAATATTACCATACACCCAAATATTGCGTTTAAGATAATATAAAAAAAGGGAGCAAGACTTTAAAAAGTAAAGGGTATTTAATAAAATCAAATTTCATGAATGATTGTAAATTTATCAGTGTGAAACGAAGCTAGTATTTAAACCAGTTTTATTTTGGTAGCAATGGCGATTGCGTTTCGTGGCTGGAAGGATCGTAATTCAACGAAATCGCAGAGCAATTGTGGAGGAATTCACCCTGTGGCAACTGAAATGGTTCCATGGAAATACTTAGACAATAGAATAATGGGTGCCGATTTACCCACGTTCTGGTTGATACGTAGGTTTGCAGTATAATTGTTCCCTGTTGAGAAACATTATCTCAAATTGTACAACCGCAGCGGAGTGGAGTCCGGCGACGTGGCTCGATCAATACATATTTAATTAGCCTACGAAATTACCACGCGTGGGAGGGGAGGTGGAGATGGAGATGGTGTTGTGTCAGCCCGCGCTCTCGAGTCACGATCCAGAGGCACACGATGGCCGGTCAGTCACCCGCGTGTGTCCCGACTCGGGTGAATGTAACGAGGGGAAGAGTGTTAGAAGGCACGTCGGTGATTGTTGGCGTGCAGACGTCCAGCTCTTGAAAGAAGATGAACGACCGGTCGGAGGAGTTAGAGACTGATCCGACGAGCGGCATCGATTCCGTGAGGATTCCGTGCGGACTGACGGACGCGCTGGTGGTTGCCGCCGAGGTCACGAACCCAGGTGGTGATTAGTGATAGCGAGCGTGGAAAGATGCTGCGAGACAAGGAAAGGGGTTGGAGAGGCGAGTGCTGTCGGAAGCAGAGCTATTCAGATGGCTAACCGCCCCACTCGTCAGGACGAACATTGGCTCATTAGGAGAGAACTGGACGTGATGGTATGCCTATGGAATGATACTTTCGATGGGTCTCAACTTGGGTACTCAGAGTCAGAAGTTTTAATTTCTGTTTGAAGATGACTAGGGGTCATTACCTACCTTCGTCTTGACCACGCTCATCCAAACAAAATTCAAAATACCGCTAGTTATACTAATATTTCGGCATATTAATGTGAGTATTAAAGTCGGAGAGTATCTCGAATGTAAAGGAGAAAAAAATGTGTTATCGGATACCTATTTGGGCTTACGAGGTTATTGCGTTCGGGAAGAACATGTGCTCAAATTGTGGATATTCGTCTTTACTTGCACCCAAAGCGAGAGCCTCGCTTACAATGATTCTACTGGAAGTTTGTACAAAGGCTTCGGCAACACAAAAGGAATAATTTGTCAACGGTTGATAACGCGCAACGTTGGCACGTTTTCTATCCATAAAATTAATAAAATTAGAGATAAGAAGGAATGCGAGACAGATTTTCGAATGACCGTGACATTTGTGCAGATTGCACTGTACCGACTGTACTGAGATTTGCATCGTGATAGCTTCCTCAGTAGAGTTACAGCGAGCTACCAGGAAGCATTTGCCACTACCGTCATTGCTTGAGCGCTCGAACGTTTCTACCCCAGAATGCCTTCATATCATCGAAATGTGAATGGTCATGGTGGCACTATTATTTTCATTTGAATCGAACACCTCACTTGTCATTGTTCTTATTCTATTTGTTAGATTATTGTTGTTTTTGCCGAGGTGATGTTGGTATTCTAATAGTTTAAATAAAATATCTTAAAGAAATTATCTTTACACCTGAATAGTCGAATTTCTAGCTCGAAGACGGCAGATGTGCAGATGGCCAACACATCATCGGATGTTATCCTAATGAATAAAATCGTTGATGAAGACTATTTTTCTTTAAAATATCTTCTTTGGTAAGAGACACAGAGTCAGAGCCAGAGTCAGAGCCAGATACGAACAGAGAGAGAGAGAGAGAGAGACAGACACAGACAGACAGACAGAGACAGGCAGAGAGAGAGAGAGAGAGAGAGAGAGAGAGAGAGAGAGAGAGAGAGAGAGAGAGGTACAGAAACAGAGAAAGATAAAGAGAGACGCGGAGACGTTTTCTTTTTTACAAGGATTGAATATAAAAAAAGGGCAACGCCGGGTATTTTACCAGTTTAAAATATTTGGAAAAGTTCGATGGAGACGGCCCACGGGCGAGCAGCTTCTCAAGCGAGCGGGAAGCATCAGTACCGCCGGACCGCGCGCGTTGCGTGCGCGCTCGCACGTTTTTTTTTACCCCGCGCACGAATGAGGCTGCGAGCGCGCACGCGCCCTCAGAGACCTCACGCGCCTCACCTCACCTCACCTCACCTCTCCGCTCCGCGCATCGCCCCTGCGACCAGTTCAGTGCGGGGGTGGACCCGGGCAGAAGGGACAACCGCGTGCGCGGTACGTGGCGGGCGAGGGATGTTTTACGTATGCGGCCCGACCTCTCAGGTGAACATTCGCCACCGGTGATCTGTCCGCAATCAAGCTATACGTTAAATCGTGGTTTATCTGTTTTCGCTCTCTGGAGCGCGGAGCCGTTGCTCTTCGTTCTGCAGGCGACTGCGAGGGGACCGGAGCACTGGGAGGAACTTGGGGTGGCACCTGGCGAGAAGCTGTGAGAAGTGCGAGGGTCACTGCTGCCAAAACCGCGTCGCGCCGAGTGACCCTGTTACCTCTCAGGTGAATCAGTTTCAATACTTTGGGGAGCCTCCGGCGCTTTCCGTGAAATGAATCTACTTGTATGTTTTGTCCAATATTTGAGTATCGCACACTTTCGTTCTCGCTCCTAGCGAATACCGCTCATAACGGGACTGGAGATCGAGAGGTCCTAGGATTCGAGTGGTGAATCGAATCGCTAGTGACTAATTTTTCGGTACCAGCTACATAGTCGCTTTCATCCACTGTAGGAGAACTCTAGTTGCCGAGGGCTAGGAAGGGTAGT